AGTCTGTTTAGACTTTTTTCCTCTGGGAGAATGAGATCTGCATGTCATGCTGCCTTGGACATAGGGTTGAAAATCCTAGTTTGCAAAGGAGGCATATTCCTAGTGGTACAACATGGGCCACGGACATTGTATTCAACCATACTGAATTGTTAACACGTTTTCTATTATTTTTACAAGGACTGGTTGTAATCGGTGCAACTTCAAAATTTTTTATGTAATTATCAAAATACTGCAACATCTCAACCCAGGCATCCTAGACATGTTAAAAACATATGTCAGGGTATACAATAACTTTTCCTGTTGTCTTAGAACATTTTCATAATCCCAATACTATATGGAAGTCATTTACTCTTAAATATGGACACACCCTGGCCTTTTATACAGAATTCAGCACTTCTCCGCCCCAGTCTGCCCACCTCCTGCTGTTGTCATATGGTATGAAAAGCAGATGCAATATACAGTGAGATCAGTCTTCTCTCCAATCTTGTTACTTCTCTCCGTTGTCATGTTGCATAGATAGTTTGTGTTGCTGTCTGCAGCTTCTATCTTATCCTGTCTGTGTGCATCCTGAATATTTCATTGGACATTAGAAGCTCTGGTTTGCAATGCCAGTGTTAATACTATACTGCTTTCTTCGAATGCATGATATTTCATACATACCTCCCAAGTGCTCCTATTTAGAAGGGACTATTATGGGCCCAAATCCCTCTGTCCCTCTTTTTTTTTTTTAGCTCCATATTGTGGACGTGTCTGAGTGTATAACAGTACTTCATTGCAATAATACTCCCACTGATGTGTCTTTAAGCTATAATAAATGTGTTTAGAAATCAGTCTGTGTAAATAAGATGCATTGTACTTGTTTTAAATTATATTTTAGTTGTATACATTTTTATTAGTAAGTCTCATAAAATTTCTCAGAACTGCCCCAACCCTGGCCACACTCCCACTCACACCCCAAAACTTTTTAAAGTGTCCATCTTTGTCCATTTGAAATGTTGGGTCATAAGGAAAGCCAAAATAAAAAAAGCAAAAAAGATAGCTTTTATTCAGATTCCTAATCTTTTATTAGGGCACTTGATGACGTAGAGGACACAATTTTTAGGTCAAAGAAATGCAGCCAGTTCTAATGGTTCTCAAACGTTCTTTCACAACTAGGAATTCCTGTTTAAATGGTTGAAATTGTTGCACCTCCTGGCTTTGGATTCTGCACTCACCCGAAGATAGATAACAATATTTTCCCGACTGTAATTTAACGTTGATGTTTATCCTGGATACAGAAAGATGGATTGCAATGATTTACCCTAGGCCAACATCGGCCCTCGCAATGTCAAGCAATTATAGGATTATAAGCTAATTATAGAGTGGACTATTGTGGTTTTTCTTGACCTGTTCTGTCTTGTAGCAATTTTTTTTTTTGCTCCTGTCTTTACTGGGTCACAGTTAGCCCATGACCACTAATGCTGCCTTGTAGGTTTAAAAGTTTTTTTTTCGAAGTAGGTAGACAAACGGACCCTAACATTACATTCTGAAGCAGTGACGTAATCTTTTCTGCATCTATATCTAGTATTCTTGATCAGGTTCTACCGTGAAACCATCTCAACTATGCACTATAAATAGAGGTATATAAAAACGGTTTTACTGATTTATTAGAGATCAAAATTTTTATGTTTTCTGGTTTTATTTCCTGTCACACATTCTTTGCCAGAAATCACCAAAATTCTTTTTTTTTTCTTTGTATATTTTGTTTAAATGAAGTAAAAGATTTGTAAGTAACCATTAAACATGAAGTGTACGTTGACTTGTGTGGCTCGAAACCTTTTGCCCTGGTAGTCCGGAACAGTTTAGTAACTATCAATGAGCTACTTGGCCTACAAACTGGCACAGCATCTTGGGGAATGCAGTTTTCGAATATCTGGGGATCAACAGCTAGCCATCAATGTTTATTTTTAATTGGCCCTAAATCCACGGTTAGATTGCCGTTAATCGACCACACAATCACGCTGCAGTGGTCAAGTATAGAAACTAGTTCATCTTCGATACTCAAGAAAATGCTTTCTGAAGGAGAATATTGTATGTATATATCAAAATACACTGTTAAGTGAATTTCATTTCTTTTATTTTTTCTTGTTCTCAGCCCGTGCGTATACTGTACAACATGCTGTGGGGTGGCCTGATAACCGGCGGTGCGATGTTACTTGCCTGGTGGAGCACGAAACAGTTGGGCTGACTCTACGTTCCGGGTGCCTTCTCCACTCAACCCTAGACCATTCCAAGGAGAACACAAGACCCATTAAAAGATATGCGGGATTTGAAGTGAGATTTAGATTATTTTTCATGCCACTGCCTGGTGAAATGCATTAAAAAGATTACTTACACATGTAACTGTGCACAATGCCTTCACTTTTATCAGCGAAAGAAGATGGTCTTGAATTTCTTTAGGTACCAAGGAGAACATGCATGAACGTTATTGCTGGCTGCCAAGAAGGATTTTGCTAGCCTTTGCAAAAAGCAAATTTTTAATGGACAAATCCAACAGGACTCTGGGGCATCTTGCCCAGAAGAGGAGCATGAAGCACGCAAATACCATGTCCGACCAACTGGTACAAAAGGGGAAACCGTATGGGTTATATTCACTGAATGGGGAATTGTGCTAAATTGATCGAAACAAATTGCAAACTTTTTATTAAAAAAAAAAAAAAAAAGGCAAATTCCATTATTTCTGGCCTAAATGCTGAAATTTGCTTCACCACAGTTACGTAGTGCATATTCCCTTTAGTGACACATTCAGTCTTGCTGTTTGGAAAGAGTCCCTTTAAAATCCACTTAATTATAAGCATTTTAACACAGTTTATGAAAATTGCATTTATGTAGTAAGCAACGTTGGTTCGGATCAATATTGATCGATATGGGTTGCGTCTACAGCCAGTCAATTGTTAACCTAGACTAATACGTTCCCTCTGTGACCGCTTCCTGGTGTCCCAGGCCCCTTCAACATTTTGGGGATTGTTACCTAAACCCCGAATTGTAGTGACTTGAAACGTAGATTTTAAAATATAAGCTAAATTAGCCAATATGTGACTCTAGCTGAAATTTTCCAAAACCCATTGGCCTTAAATTTAGCGTTTAGTTTTCACTTCACACGATATGGTGAATGAATCCCTTGATGTTACAATGTGATCTCTGCTGCATTGCTATGCGCAATAGTAGAATATTCAGGAGCCCCAGATATATAATCTTCCACAGAAGCTGTGAGAGGTGGAGAGAGACCCCCCAGAAATCAGCAGCACATACTTACCCCACACTGGCAAGGCTTATTCTCTGCTTCCTTGGTGTCACGTACGAGGGCCTTCTGCGACAGCCCCCCCCTTTAATACAGTACTCTGCAACAAAACGTAATTTAGAACAAGTACAATGTATCTTATTTACACAGACTGATTCCAAACACATTTATTGTAGTAAAGACACATTAGTGTGAGTATTATTGCTGTGGAGCTCTGTTATACATTCAGACACACCAAGAATATGTAGTTCCTAGAAAAAAAAAGGACATAAGGTTAGAATAGAGGGACAGAGGGTTTTGGCCAAAAAATAGGGACTGTCCCTTCTAAATAGGGTAACTTGGAAGGTATGAAATTGCTCTAAACACCCGTATTCAAACCCCACGACAACTGATTATTTAAGTAGTGTTCCATAACCATTAAATAAAAAAAAATTATTTCATATTTACAGCACAGTGTTTTCACCATACCACAGAACTAATATTCTGCCCATGAAAATAGGACCAGGAAACAAAAACTGTTAAATTACAAAGACTGAACAAAATAAATTGAGCATGTTTTGCCGCCTGTAATGTGATTGACTTCAATCCACCAAGTCACAACAAAGTCCATAGCAAACCTCTCTCTAGTAAGTTTAACTCAGTGAATTCCCTAACAGACCAATTACAATAGACTAATAGAATAGGTGCACCATGGACAGGGCCGGCACAAGACTATTTTGCACCCTATGCAAGACCAGCTACTTGCACCACGCAATGTTGTCAATCTTGTGTGTCTTTCTTTTTCCAGCTGTTTGTATCTGTCTTTCTCCCCCAACTCATTGGTGTGTCTTTTTCCCCTTCCCCAGCCCCTCTATATCTTTCTCACCCCCATCCAACAGCTTTGTGGGATTCTTTCTCCCTCCCCAGTCCCTGTGTATCTCTTTGTGCCCCCACCCAGTCCTTCTGTGTCTCTTTGTCTTCTCAGCCCTCTGTCTTTATCTTTGTTCCCCACAGCCCCTCTGTGTCTCTCTGTCCCCACAGCACCTCTGTTTGTGTCTTTGTCCACCAGTCCCTTTGTGTGGCTTTGTCCCCCCCAGCCTTCTGTGTGTCTATTTGCCCCCTAAGCCCCTCTATGTGCTTTTGTCCCTCCCAGCTGTTCTGGGCGCCTCTTTGCCCATCTCAGCCCTTTGTGTGTCTCTTCTCCTCCCTCCTTGGTCCTCTGTATGCCTCTCTTCCTCCCCTTAACCCTCTGTGTGCCTCTACTCACCCGCCCAGCCCTCTGTGTGCCTCTACTCACCCCCCCAGCGAGCCTCTCCTGACTCACCAGCCCTCTGTATGCCTCTCCTCAACCCCCAGCCCTCTGTATGCCTCTCCTCAACCCCCAGCCCTCTGTATTTGCCTCCTCAACCCCAGCCCTCTGTGTGCCTCTCCTCAGCCCCCATCCTCTGTGTGCCTCTCTCACCAGCCTCTGTGTGCCTCCTCCTCACCAGCCCAGCCCTCTGTGTGCCTCCTCCTCCTGCCCAGCCCTCTGTGTGCCTCTCCTCACCAGCCCAGCCCTCTGTGTGCCTCTCCTCCAGCCAGCCCTCTGTGTGCCTCTCCTCACCCGCCCACCCCTCTGTGTGCCTCCTCCTCACCCGCCAGCCCTCTGTGCTCTCACTCGCCAGCCCTCTGTGTGCCTCTCCTCCTGCCCAGCCCTCTGTGTGCCTCTTCTCACCCCAGCCCTCTGTTGTGCCTCTTCTCACCCCAGCCCTGGTGGAGTCTCTCCTTACTCCCAGCCCTTGGTGAGCCTCCTCTTACTCCCAGCCCTCGATGAGCCTCTCCTCACCCCCCAGCCATCTGTGAGCCTTTCCTTACCCCCAGCCCTCTTTGTGCATCTTCCCAACCCTCCACTTGCCTCTCCTCAACCACCAGCCCTCTGTGTGCCTCTCCTCACCCCCCAGCCCTCTGTGTGCCTCTACTCACCCCTCAGTCCTCTGTGTGCCCAGCCCTCGGTGACCCTCTCCTGACCCCCAGCCCTCGGTGAGCCTCTCCTGACCCCCAGCCATCTGTGAGCCTTTCCTTACCCCCAGCCCTCTTTGTGCATCTCCCGACCCCCAGCCATCTGTGAGCCTTTCCTTACCCCCAGCCCTCTTTGTGCATCTCCCAACCCTCCGCTTGCCTCTCCTCATCACCCAGCCCTCTGTGTGCCTCTCCTCACCTGCCCAGCCCTCTGTGTGCCTCTCCTCACCTGCCCAGCCCTCTGTGTGCCTCTCCTCACCTGCCCAGCCCTCTGTGTGCCTCTCCTCACCCCCCCAGCCCTCTGTGTGCCTCTCCTCACCCCTCCAGCCCTCTGTGTGCCTCTCCTCACCCCTCCAGCCCTCTGTGTGCCTCTCCTCACCCCTCCAGCCCTCTGTGTGCCTCTCCTCACCCCCCCAGCCCTCTGTGTGCCTCTCCTCACCCCAGCCTCTGTGTTGCCTCTCTCCTCACCCCAGCCCTCTGTGTGCCTCTCCTCACCCCCCCGCCCTCTGTGTGCCTCTCATCAAACCCCCCAGCCCTCTGTGTGCCTCTTCCTTGTGCATACTTACATATTTAACCTAAAACTGCCATCTTTACATGAACAACACGTTCCGCCCTCATTGTTCAATCTTCATTTTCAACCTCCAAGACCACCCCCAGCCCTCCTGTTCCCTCTCCCTGATCTGACAGGTTGCAGTTCTGTGCTCTGAGCGCTCCTGAGTAAGAATAATGGAGAGTGTAGTATAAGTTGAGACTTTATTAATGATGTATTAAGGGAATACATAGATTAATTTGTTCTTGTGTATTTAGACAGTATACTTATTTATACACTTGACCTGTCCATTGACCAGGCACATGTGAGACAAGTACTGAACACTCTGTTCCAGAATGAAGAAATGTTTGTTCCGTCAATCAAAACTACAATTCTTAGGTTATATTATATTGGCTTATGGTTTTGAATGGATCCAAACAAATTAGAGGCTGTCTTGCACTGGCCAATGTCCAAGAGTTTGAAAGCAAAGATTTATAGGATTCTCAAACTATTACCGTAGATTCATTAAAGGATCTTCTTCAGTCAGTTTACCCATTACCAGTCTCACTCCAAACGGTGTCAATACCCAGGTCCTTAGAGGTTATTTCCGTAGCAGAGATTAGATTAGAATTATTTTACACCTATTTTTATGGGTGTTTTACCACTAACAAATTTTAACTGGTGGGATAAAATAGCTTAAAATGAAGTTTCCCAGTTTTTGTTAATATTAAGTTTACTTATCCCTTATATTTAACAAATGTATGCACATGTGAGGTGTGGAAATAAAACATTAAGTGTGTAAATCCACACCTGGGAGCCTCCATCTTAGATTCCCGTCATTCATTGTTACAAGCCCTGTCCTTTGCACCTGACACTTCATATACACATTAAGGTCTTGAAGTAACATTACCACCCAATACAACTTAGCTCATTGACGTTGTTATAGTGGTAGGGGTGTCTCTGCGTAGTCTTAACTCTAGTTAAACTGATTTCCAGTGGTTTAAAGGGACACTATAGTCACCAGAACACATACAGCTTAATGTACTTGTTCTGGTGAGTATAATAGCTCCCTTCAGGCATTCAGAGAAAAGGCAGTGTTTACATTGAGAGACACTCCTTAGATGGCCACTGGAGGGGCTTCCTGGTTCTGGGCTGCCGAAAAAGCTCTGCATGGAGACACTGAATTTACCTCATATAGATACATTGATTCAATGCATCTCTATGAGGAGATCCTGATTGGCCATAACATAATTTAGCCCCGCCTCGTGCAGATTTTAGCCAATCCAATGCTTTTCCTATGTTGAGTTTAGCACTATAGGGTCAGGAATACATGTTAGCATTCCTGACCCTATAGTGATCCTTTAAACCCGAAGATGGACCCCCAATCCCTGACACCGCACACCTGACTTCCTCTCTATCAGGCCCCCACAGTATGAGGAAGGTTTTTCTGGTTGTCCTGTGATATTTTGCTAATATTTATGAAACTCAATGAAGCATGTTTTATTATATTGGAACATAGCAGTAGATGAGGAAACACGTGAACTGTAGCTATCCTTGGAACCACTGTCCATCCTACTATAGCAAATTGCTTCACCTTTGTCTAAGTTAAAGTTACCAGATTTACAAAAATGACCATGGTAATGGTAAGACAAAAATTGCAAGGGTTGGTCCTTTCCAAAAGAAATTGGGATGTATTTTTACATTTTGTCAGGGCGAGGTTCATCTAGAAGATGTTTGGAGAGTTTGATTTCTCAATACACACACATACATGCACGCATTCTACCTCAAACATGTGTATATATGTATACTACATACACCCACTCTACCTCATACACCCTCTTCCTCGTGCATACTTACATATTTAACCTAAAACTGCCATCTTTACATGAACAACATGTTCCGCCCACATTGTTCAATCTTCATTTTCAACCTCCAAGACCACCACCATGGCCAATCTTACTGAACCAGCTAAACACAGGAAAGATTTCAAGCCTAGTCTCTAGAGCAGGTCTTCCTGTAACCTACACTATCCTATTAATATAAACTGCGGACATAGCAGATCTAGGGTGTTGAAACCTTGTTTAAAAAACTTCAACATTTGGGTCCAATCATTATGCTTTATGGAAACCCCCTCTGCAAAAAGCTAAACAATCTCTTCTAATACCTGAATTTTATTTTTTATATATTTACCACTGTGATCCAACACTTAAAGCGGCAATGTGCAACTTGCTAAAGTGTTTTGTTTTTTCCCCCCACTTTTATAAATTTGAATTGTTACACCTACTGACTGTCAACCAATCCTGTTACTTTCTGGTTGTTTAGCTCAGTGGAGCTAAACTCAACAGGTAGCAATTCCCCAGAGCACCTGCCTTCCAAATACTTCTCATTGAGCTGCATTGCAAAGTTTGTGATTGGACAGCCACAGACAGTCTGGGCGGGATTTGAAGGGGAGGGTTTGCAAAGGCATCAGACAAGAGATCTGCCGTTTTTGCAAGTTGTTTTTAGATATGTCCCCAATGACAAAACGCATGCTAAAAAATAGTCATGTTTTCATTGGAGGAATATCTACTAAATAGGGATTTATTTTTTTGTTGGGGTTTTTGGGCAGTAGAGTGGAGCATAGAAGCTGGGCATTGCACAGCACTGATTGTCAACCCGTCACACTATTGAACACAGGATGATGGAAGGTCTATCGTTTAAATTCTGCCTTGGTTACATTGGGGTTCTTAGAATCCATGCACAATTGGTTCAGAAGGAGGGCCCCTATCTAGAACCTTAATCTTTTCTAGGGGTCCTATGGACCACGTAAAAGCACTTGATCAACTCAATGGCTAATAATACTTTCACTATAAGTGAACCAGTTAATTATATAACCTATTTCGGATCTGCTTGGACCAATGTCTAACTGTTTAATTTCTTCAGAAAGTGTCTTACGGGGAGGAATACACTCCTCTATGAATTGTGAACTTCTAGAAAACTAACTGTAAACTTTAACTAAAAATAGCCACAGATTTATGAAATGTGGCTGTTTTGGCCTTAAATTTACAGTCGATTCCATTGTAACTCTCCACAGTTCCCCATTTAGTCAAAACCCCTGTTTACAATTTCTCTAGTTTTTTTTAAGAACCTGGGTACCCAAATTCTGTTACATATTGTCTCTCTAGGGTCAGGACTTGGAACTGTAATATTTGTGCCTGAAAAGTCTGAGCATTCAATTTTACCCTGTTTGTAAAGCATAATTTTATTAGTTACGCCACTGTAAATCATAGGCACTGCAACTTGAAAGTCTCCATTGTTACACTTTGTCGATATGTTAATATTTTACCATTTAAGCCTGTAATGCATGACTTTGACTTTTTTTCGGAGTACACTATTGTACATGCTGGGAGCACGACCTATTGCTGTGTTTATCCTTTCTGTATAATGCTGGATATCTGCACATTTATTTATCGATGAAAGAAGGGAGTCAGTGTTGCACAGAGAGAACAATGCTAATATTGCTCAGGTAATTGTAAGGTGTAAGAATAGTGCAGTTCCTCATCATCTCTCCTTTAAGCGCTATCCTTTTATATTGTACTACAAGTGTAGGCAACAGCTGCTGACGTGGATGCTGCGGACAGTAATCATAGTTGCCAACATTTAAAAAAAAGATTCCAGGGACACTTTGTGGCAAGAACTCCCACAGACATACATACAGTGACACACAGACACATACAATGACACAGACATAAAATGACAAACTTACAAATACAATTATTTATATAACGCCAACATATTCCACAGTGCTGTTTATTAGGGAAACAAGACAGATAGTTCTAACAAAATACAAATGACATACGGCAACAATAGGTGAAGATGGGCGTGCTCAATCTTCCATATAGTGATACACACACTTTAACAAACTGACATACACAAATAAGGGGGAAAACACATATATTTCCATCCTCCTTCCTGTGGGTCCTGGGGTGGTCACACACCAGAATGCAGGACAAGTCCCAGGAATCATATTTGCTGGAACAGTGGGAAGCAACGTGGACTACATCTCCCATGATGCAACTATTAGTCTCCAGGTTTGCGGGGCACTGTGGAAAATTGAGTTGTCAATTGTATGGGTCAATGTTGCTTTCCAATGTGTTCAGTCTGTAGATGCATAGAGGTACATAAATTCTGTTCTTGTTACTTCACTGACCATCAACTAACCACTAAACTTGTGTACAGCAAACTGATTAGCTTGAAAATTTTTCGTTTGGGTGGTCCAAATTTTGTTTATTTGGGGTTTTGGTTCGGACCAATGTCGTCCATATGATTGTTTCGGGAAAAAAGCGATTCAAACTACACCCTGTTCCAAATTATTATGCAAATTATATTTTTCTCATTTACCTAAATAATTGATGTAAATAACAGTCAGCATAATTCTCAAGTTATCAACTATTAAGAGTACAATTCAAATTTTATTGAACAAACCTCCTAATGTGACAGTATTTTTTTTAAACATAAAAAACGAACAATGCACTGTTCCAAATTATTACGCACAGTAAGTTTCAAAACACTTTATAGGTTGTAAAGAACTGAAAATTGTCATTTGTTGTGTTTGCAGCATATTTACTGAAATCAAAAGCTATTTCAATCAAACTTATAACAACATTTTAACTTTTTAAACATTTTAACAGGTCACGCTACATTTTAACATAGGACCCCTTATTTGATAGCAGCTCCACAAGTCGTGCATGCATTGAACTTGTGAGTTTTTGGACAGTTTCTGCTTGAATTTGTTTGCAAGATGTCAGAATAGCCTCCCAGAGCTGCTGTTTGGATGTAAACATAGATCTTTTGCTTGAGGATGCTCCAAAGGTTCTCAATAGGATTGAGGTCAGGAGAGGATGGAGGCCATACCATGACTTTCTCTCCTTTTATACCCATAGCAGCCATTGATGCAGAGGTATTCTTTGCAGCATGAGATGGTGCATTGTCATGTATGAAGATGATTTTATTACGGAAAGCATAGTTCTTCCCTCTGTACCAGGGAAGAAAGTGGTCAGTCAGAAACTCCACATGAGACACAATGCCGTCCATGAGTTAAACTGAAAAACACAATATTTAATCTTTGAGACACTTAAATAGAATTTGCATAATTATTTGGAACAGGACACGGAGAAGTGAGAAGTGACCAGTAGAGGTAAAAAGAGGAGGAGCATTAAAAATCTATAATATATAAATTATAGAATTTTATTTTGTTACTGCTCTTCCTTTCCCCCTCTATAGGGCCACTTCTTACTTGATCGGTGAATAAAATCAACATTTATAAGCTGCCTAACCCTCAATTGTCGTTTTTTTGTTTTTGTTTTTATGGAGCCAAACATGGAATTCCAAATCACAAAACTGCTTGTCCATTATTCTGTCTAGTTTGCTTTGTGATGCGTCCACCTGCTGCAGAGCTTGGATGGCTCGCTAATCGCCCAAAATGCAGACAAATCGCAATTCGTTTGGAACCGAATGCACCGGTCTACTAATTCCAGAAAACAGCTAATGGCCTATTTCTGTGTTTGCTAACCATTTCTTTTCTTAAATACAAATTTGCAAAACCAGACAGCTAAAATTGAGATCCTTCGTAATGATGTGAATACCATATACTCCTAACCAGTATCTTACAATTGTCTCCATGTAATAGAAAACATAAAAGCTAGATGGTTTTTCTCTGGGTGTGCAGCCAACCATGAGTGACCCATGTGCTTAGATTTACGTAAAATTATGTTTTTTAGTGTGTGTTTTTTTTTTTTTATAGTTTTTAATTTATTTTTTTTATATGTTAAGAACAGATTGCACATGTTGGTTTTCCAATATGTAGAGATTGTATTACTAACTCAGAATTCTAAATAAGCCAAATAACTGGTATCCGTAAACCCAAAAGAAAGTTTAGAAATTAAAATTCTATCTTTCCTCAAGGTTATCATCTACTGTTTGATAGTTTGACATTGCTTAAAGAGACACTTTATGCAGAAAGAGAACCTTAGCTTAGTGAAGCGGTTTTGGTGTATAGATCATGGCCCTGCAGTCTCACTAATGAATTCTTTGCCATTTAGGAGTTAAATCACATTGTTTATAAAGCCTTAGTCACACCTCCCTGCATATGACTTGGACAGCCTTCCTAAAAACTTCCTATAAAGAGATATCTAATATTTAAACTTCCTTTATTGCACAGTTTGTTTCATTTAGAATTTTATATCTCCTGAGCTGGTAATAGGCTTCTAGACCCTGCAGGAGCCTCCTTTTGTGTGAAAGTTAAATTGACAGAGCAAGAGATAAAAACTACTGAAGCAAGTTAACATCTGAGTTGTGGCCAGGGCTGCATAAACAGAATCAAAAGGGATTTAACTCCTAAATGGCAGATAATTGAGCAGTGAGACTTCAGGGGCATGATCTATACACCAAAACTGCTTCATTAAGCCAAAGTTGTTTTGATGCCTATAGTGTTTCTTTAAGCATGGGGAAAAAAAATCCAGATATGTATTAATGTTAAAAAAAAAAATGCTGCAAGCTAACTTGATTTTCTTTTGTAAAAGAAATATACTGGTTCGGAGCACATGGCCTTTCTTCTTAAAGTGATACTGTATCTTTAAGAGTTTCCAGAAAGTTAGCATCCATTACAATTTGTTTACTGCATTTTGATCCTTAACATTTTACAGAAATTGGTTATGGAAAATCTTGTACAAACCCATGACTCTGATGTGCCTACTCCCATTTATAAAGCCTATATATTTATGTGTGAAATACTAAAAAAATTATATTCCTGTTTTTATATTTACACTGACAATGTGCATCGTACTTTATCAAATACAACTGGATTTAAAGGGGAATTCTCATTAAACAATGAAATCATGAAAACCTGTACATGTGATTTTTTTAAAAAAATTTTTCTGTCTATAGTGTAAAAAAATTATAAAAATGTCCATTACTACATCTCAAAATTGAGTGCTATGAATGCAAGACTGGGTTGTGGGAGGTAGAGGGGTTGGGGGAGGAGGGTGGCATTCCAAAGATGGGGGCATAATGCTCACCCCCTAAATCGGGTGACTTCATAAAAAAATTTAAATCACAAATGGCAGCATCCATTCATTGAATGGTGCCCACTTTTATTATGCCACAAAAGTGAGCAGACCACATTTTTCAGGTTTGAGTAAATGTAACATAATAAATATCCATAATACTGGAAAGTGTAAAACATAAGTGTCATTGCTACATTTAAAATGGCAAGTATCATAAAAAGAGCGAATTACTCTTGGATAGGGACTGCCACTGTTTATATAGGTATTTAGTTTATTGGTTTTAATCACTACAGTGTGACTTTGGCTGTGGGTTGGGGTCATAATGTTGCCGGAAGATGGACCTCCACCAAAGTATGTCAAGTCTTGGAGGCTGAAACCGATCACCATCTAGAACGTTCTCCGTCCATTTTGCCATCAGTTGTGATCACGATGTCTCTAATATTTTAATTGGTTTTAATGACACAATAAAAAAAATATTTCTTTAGCTCATGGTTGGAGACAACTACGGATTGGTCACTCCTTCGATGGATCTGTTCCTGTGAATGCCTCGGCCAGGTAATGGAAATACGATGAGAAAATAATTTCCCCCTTCTCCTTACTTCCTCTTTCTCTCTCCATCTCCCAAGAAGTTTATTTTATACTATACTTATTATTTTAAACTTGTTACAGTTTCTGCAAGTTGGAAATATTAACTTATTTCATCCATTTTTATTTTACACCTTCAAAGTAATAAATATATTAATAGCGAACAATTGAAATCCTAATAAAATCTATTTTTGATCCTAAGTTGTAACACTAAAGCACGTAGAAACATCTAAAGGGGGTAAATACTTATGCAAGGGTCTTTACATGCTTGCAAATCTGTATTTGATTGTTGGCTCGCTTACTGAGAAACATGTTCTTGCTGTAAAGGTACCACTTGACTGACTTCAGCAAGTTATGGGGTACAAGCTTGCATACATCAGCATGTCCCCTGCAGCTAAGTTGCAGACTTTGTGTCATTGCAATGTCTCATTTGAAGCAAAATTGAACCCTATGTTTTGTCTCCAAAGTTTCCAGATGTAATCTGATCAGTGGGAGTGCAGTGTTACTTAAGATCCTTGAACTTGTGGACAATTTGGATGTAGCACAGAACTACACTTGGCTACTAAAGCATGCCCCCTAGCATATAAAATGGACAAAGAGGGACACTTAAACTTTAGGGGTGTTCCTGGGGAAGTGGCCAGAGACCGGGCTGTTGTGAGAAAGTTTAGGTGACTGATTAATCATTTAGATAACTAAAATGTAATTTAGAACAAGAACAATGTATCTTATTTACACAGACTGATTTTTTTAAAACACATTTATTGCAGTTTAAAGACACATTACTGGTAGCATTGATGCTGTGGAGCTCTGTTATACATTAAAGACACACCAACAATATGGAGCTTGTAAAAAAGAGGGACATTAGGAGAGAAAACCCGGACAGAAGTAGGGACACTTGGGAGGTATGTAAACGTAGCGGCAAAACAAAAAAAAATTACTTTATGTCCTTAAGGAATTAAAGAGACACTTCAGGCACCAAAACAACTTAATCTAACAGGAGGCACTTTTACCTGAAATGGTCAAACCCCATTCATTAAACTGGCTTGGGAAGAAAAGTATCTTTACCAATACAGTTTAGTTAATGGGGAGTCAATGATTGGCTGAGAGCATTACCTGAATCTGAGGGGTGTGTGGGGATTGGACATCGCCACTGGAGGCAACTTTCTCAAATGGTTTAACTCTTTTAGGTAAGCGTGCCTTCAGGTACCATAACAACTTAATTTAGATGAAGTTGCTTTGGTACCTTGTGTGTTCCTTTAATACTACCGATGAAATTTGAATGAAAGATTCAATATTGTTGGTATACTGTACATTTTGCTAATGTTCTTTAATCTGGCCACCTTTAAAATATCCTTTCACAATGAAGAAGCCTTTTTCTGTGTTTAATTATTTAAATGGACATTGTCTTAAAGCAAGGCTGCTAAATGTATCTATAATTTGTCCTAGTCAAACAACTAGCAAATGTTTAACGTTATTTTACATATTGTACATTAGTTATACATCCAACCCAGGCTCATCAACACAGGGCATGCTGGCATTTATCCTATGAGTTTTGAATTGATAATGGTAATTTCATTATTGGTTAATGCTCCAGCTGCCATATTGTCAGTAATTTTTAAAACTGCAGGTTGAAATACCATTACATTAGGTAATCCCAATAGCCCATGGCATACTTGATAGCTAAATAAGTATTTTTTTCTAAAACTCTATCTGCATACCTACTTGATATTGAGTCTTATCCAAAGATGGATGACCAGGTTTCTTTAATGGGCATGTGAATTGGAAAAAGATTTAAATAATTAAACATTTTTTGTTCACGCTCCTTATCCCTTATCCTATTGTATCGGTACATATTATAACGTCCTGTTTTTCCCAGCTGTTACTGGATTTGCTCCAAAGCACAGAGATATTTTAAACATTCTGCAGTTCTTGTTATATCACCCCATGGCCTCTAGTCCGTTATCAGCATATGGGATTCATTTATATATTCTTTCATTTCCTGCCCCCATCAGCTAGTTTTCGTGTGCTGCATTTTGCATTCTCACTGCCAAATGGTGTATACTTCATTTCCTTGTGAAATAGTGTCCACGGTTTTGTTATATCTTCAGGTTAGTACATCTCACCTGAGATCACAGCAGCAAAGGTGAATTGCAACAATCCCTATTGTATGGTATGCTGCTGTGTTCTTGTAATACACTGTCCATATGTATGATATGCTAAAACAATTGAATTGGGCAGCTTTCGTATTCAGACATGCTTTTCATCTTCAAAGCCAGCTCTCTGGATAACTCCCACACTACCTGAGCAGCATGCTTTCTCCAGTATCCTCCATCCTAGAGCAAGTGTGACCATAAGACAACACTTAAGCAACCGCCTAGGGATTAGATGGGCTTCGGGACCATGAACTGATTGGCCCCATTAGCCATCCCTATGTGAAGAATAAAATTGGAACCCAAACTGGTAACCCCTGCGATCGTCTCTTTACGTATATCTTAAAATGTAAGCTTGGTTGGACCGGGCACACTTCATCAACTGTTCTTGTATGTCCTATGTGTTCTGTTTACCTATTGTACAGCACTGTGGAATATGTTGGTGCTATATAAATAATTGTCATTTTAAATGGATTTCTATGGCCGAGCAGCTACATACAGTTACCACTCTCCATGGAGTAGGTGTGGAGTACTATAATGGTCAAAGTCACTGGACACTGAGGCAGTCAAAATGCCACTTGTCAAGTAAAAAAATTGCACTATTTATTTATCTGAATTTTTGATAAATAACTATAGTTTTGCTATTGCCAGAAGAAAGCTGCCTTTCTAAATGCATATTGCTAACTGGGAAGAGTAATAGAAGAGAAATAATTGGCTATTTAAAGGGATACTATAGGTACCAAAACCACTTTATTTTAATGAAGCAGTTTGGGTGTATAGCTCATGCCCCTGCAGTCTCACTGCTCAATTCTCTGCCATTTAGGAATTAAATCACTATTGTTTATGTTTATGCAGCCCTAGCCACACACAGCCTGCATGAATTTTTTTTTCATTTTCAATCACATGTGAGAGCACAGTGTGTTTACTTTAGACATTTTTTCCCCTTTTGATCTGTTAATTGATCTTTAATCACACACAGGAGGCGTCCACAGGGTGTAGGAGGCTATTACCAGAGCAGGAGATCAGAAACTCTAAATTAATCAGACTGTGCAATAAAGAATGTTTAAGCATTAAAACTTTTTTTTTTTTTTTTTACAGGGAATGTGTAGGGACACTTTGTAAGACACATGCAAACTGATTTAACTTCTAAATTACAGAGAATTGAGCAGTGATATTGCATAATCATGATCTATACACCAACACCACTCCGTTAAGCTAAATAAGTTGTTTTAATGCTTATAGTGTGCCTTTAGTGGTTTGAGCAACGACCATTCATTCTGTTCTAAGGACCTCTTGGAATGAAATTCTGGATGTTATCGTTCTTCCAGGTTTGTGGCAATAGTTTGGGGAATCCCTTTCCTGTTTCCGCATGGCAATTCCTCCGTGCACAGGGTGAGGCCTGAACTTTAATGGTTTGTCGGGTATTGGGATGAAAACTTGCCTGGCCTAAATAGAGCCTTGACCTCAATACCACGGAACACATCTGGGATAAATTGGAACACTGATTGGGAGTCAGTCCCGATCAACGAACATCTGTGCCTGAACTGCCTAATGTTTTGTGCAGCAGTGTTTAAACATCAGTGGAAACTCTTACCACAAGAGCAGAAGCTGCTAAAACAGCTTAAACGAGTTTTAACCCAGAATTAAAAGTCACGGTTTTGGATTTGATATTTTATGAGCAGGAGCTCCCATACTTTTGACCATGTAGAGTATTTGGTCGTATGGCTGTGCAACTTATAGTCCAAATGCAACACTCCATTAAAGTATCATTGTTTTATTAAATTTATTTAAGAGAGCATATTCTGCAGTTCTGTACAATAATTGGACTTATAAACAAGTAGTTCCAACAAGACAAGTTAGACGTACAGGAACAGATGGTGGTGAGGGCCCTGTTAAAACAAGCTTACATTCTAAGATCTAGAGTATGTATGCATGCCTACGTATATACAGTGACGCCATCAGGGGCATAAGAGGCCTGTCTGTGCTCTGGGGCCCTGTATTGCTATGTGGTCCAGTTGGGGACTGGGGTCATCTTGCGGATCTGTGACAGCACGGGCCACTTAAAAGTACAGCCCTCCCCATTCACCTTGGGAATGACCACACTGGCAGA